GGTGGGGAAGAGGGTGGTGATGGGAAGTCGGCGGGAGGGGTGTCAACATAATTAGGGTAGGGCAGCAGAAGCAGGGAGTAGGAGGGGCCTGGGTTAGTTTGCGGGACCCAGAACCCCGGGGTAGGAGGCTGGCTGCTGCGGGTGCTGGTGGGGTTGGTGGTGCAGGGGAGGCCCAGAGGCCGGGGGGAGCAGGGCTGGACGGGCTCTGGCTGAGTCAGAGTGGCCTCCGCTGCCATGATGGTTTCGCATGGACTTTGGCTGGAGGGTAAGGGCTAGGTTAGAGGGGGAGCTGAGGTCTCTCTACGTCACCCCTTCTGCTTCCTGTCCTGCAGATGTTGAACTTCTTTGTGGCCATGATAATGGACAATTTTGAGTACCTTACACGGGACTCTTCCGTCCTAGGGCCTCACCACCTGGATGAGTTCTTCCGGGTCTGGGCTGAGTATGACCTGGCCGCGTGGTGAGTGGCCCCTGTACTCCGTGGTCCTCAGGGTTGTCCATGCCACAGATCTCGGGACAGGGCTGGGTGGCTTCAGACGACACAGGTTTTGTCCAACCCCCTCAGGTTTTGGCGGGGTCCGCAGAGGGTGGTGCCAGGTCCCCTTCTAGGTGGCACGCTCCTTCTCATGCCCACAGTGCTCTTACACAGCTCCCTGGGCTGAGAAATGCTCTGTGAGACCCTTAGTCCAGCGCTTAGGAGGTTCCAAGGGGTCTGTGAGGCTCAGGTCTCTTGCCAAATGGGAGTGTACTGTCTCCTCACAGGTCTGTCACATGAGGGGCGTGGAGGGCTCAAGGGAGAGGGTGTGGACACAGCAGGAGGGCCTTCCCTTGGGGCCTCACCATCCTCATGAAGCTTGGAGGCCTTCATGGCAGAAATGACATTCTTCCCGCCGATGGGCTCAGGCCTCTCCCTCTCTGCCATCTCTTGGGAACAGGAGCCAACATGCACCTCTGTGTCCCCAGCCCAGGCTGCAAATAGCGGGCGCTTGGTGAACTTTCACTGAAATTAAAGGAGCTACCAGGAAGGGTCTAGTATGTTGAAGACCCTTTGGTCATGGTGGGAAAGGGTTACTGTGTTGCATTAAGTGAGGGGTAGTTTGTTTCCAGACAGAGCAAGTATGTCATGAGGGGACTGGCTTGGGTTAGAAGGGTGTTCCGTGATCCATGGGAGAGTCCTGCACACCCAGGACACATACTCTTATCCTCGGGGCTAGCAAAGCAGCATGGACTCACCATCTGCCCATTTGTCTGTCCCTTCATCACTCGCTTCTTCACATGCTTATTCATTCATTCACTCTCTCAAGCGGATACTTGAGTAGTTATTCAGGGAATGCTCTCTTCAAGGCCAACACAGGACATGGAGGGGCCAAGAGACCTAGCTGCTGGGAAGGCACGGGCCTGCTCATCGCCTCGCTCATGGTGAGCACTCAGCAGACATGAATGTGAATGAACAGTGCATCAGTAAACGGATGGGTATCTGTCCCTTCCCACACTCAAAGGGAATGAGAAGACTGTGAAGACGGGGTGTAGCCACTTCCCACCTCCTCTCTCCGAGGTTCCCAGCCTGCCCGTGTCCCCCTCGCACAGCTCTGTGTTTGGTCACCCCTTGCGTGGCATAGGCCTGGAGGAGATGGTCAGTGTTGTCATGGGGAGGACCATACTGCCCACAGTTTTTCCCTGAATTGGAGCTCAAGAAGGGGATTGCTCCAGAGCTCTCTGACCCTCAAGCCCCTGGGAGCTTGGCTGGGCTCCCCCACCCTCCTCTCATCCAGCCTTCCTGGAGCCCCTACTGCATCATGTGAGGATCCAGAAGATTCTGTATGAGACCCTTCCCAGGCTGGTCAAGTCCTGAAACCACTGGTAGCACCAGCAACCCTAGGGCATTTCCATTCCTGTAGTGTCTCTGGGTGTTTACCATTGTAGTGAAAATGGAATAATTTTCACACAGTGCAGAACAAGCATGGCTTTTATTTATCTTTCATGGTGTAGGTGACCGTTTTTCTGGCCTCGAAGAGTCCTGTCATTTTGCTAATGCGTCAGCACATCGGCCCTGCAGTGCCCAGTCTGATTCTGGCTCCGGGGTAGGTGTGGGTTTTCTGGTCAGGAGGGCCCAGTCAGGTTAGAGAGCAGGAGAGACTCCAAGTGAGGCAAGCTTGAGGCTCATTCTAGGAGGGTCATCTGCACTGTGGTCTCAAGAGATGCTGTTGTTTCTGGGCACACTGTTTCCAGTATATGTGCTGCCGAAGGGAGCACTAGGCACGCTGTTTCTAAAGGGTGTGTTACAGGGAAGCATAGATGCTGTATGACAGTATGTCCATATGTGCAGGACAAAGGCAAGTCAGTGCAGGCCTGTGAGAGGGGAGGACTTCCCCCAAATCTTTATGAACTGTAGACCCAGGGCTTCCCCTAGTCCAGCCACAGGTGGAGCAGAATTTGGACATACAGGAAATGGACTTGGGCCAGACTGTGGTTTTGTGATGGTGCACAGGGGGCTCAGACACTTTCCCAAATCCAGCTCATGGTGAGCGCTCAGCAGACATGAATGTGAATGAACAGTGCATCAGTAAACGGATGGGCATCCGTCCCTTCCCACGCTCGAAGGGAATGAGAAGACTGTGAAGATGGGGTGTAGCCACTTCCCACCTCCTCTCTCCGAGGCTCCCAGCCTGCTCGTGTCCCCCTCGCACAGCTCTGTGTTTGGTCACCCCTTGCGTGGTAGAGGCCTGGAGGAGATGGTCAGTGTCGTCGTGGGGAGGACCCTACTGCCCACAGTTTTTCCCTAAATTGGAGCTCAACAAGGGGATTGCTCCAGAGCTCTCTGACCCTCAAGCCCCTGGGAGCTTGGCTGGGCTCCCCCACCCTCCTCTCATTCAGCCTTCCTGGAGCCCCTACCCCATCATGTGAGGATCCAGAAGATGCTGTATGAGACCCTTCCCAGTCTGGGCAAGTCCTGAAACCACTGGTAGCACCAGCAATCCTAGGGCATTTCCATTCCTATGGTGTCTCTGGGTGTTTTCCATTATAGTGAAAATGGAATAATTTTCACGCAGTGCAGAACAAGCATGGCTTTTATTTATGTTTCATGGTGTAGGTGACAGTTTTTGTGGCCTCAGAGAGTCCTGTCATTTTGCTGATGCCTCAACACATCGGCCCTGCAGTGCCCAGTCTCATTCTGGCTCAGGGGTAGGTGTGGGTTCTCTGGTCAGGAGGGCCCAGTCAGGTCAGATAGCAGGAGACACTCCAAGTGAGGCAGGCTTGAGGCTCATTCTAGGAGGGTCCTCTGCACTGTGGTCTCAAGAGATGCTGCTGTTTCTGGGCACATTGTTTCTAGTATATGTGCTGCTGAAGGGAGCACTGGGCACGTTGTTTCTAAAGGGTGTGTTTCAGGGAAGCAGAGATGCTATATGGGCAGTATGTCCATATGTGCAGGACAAAGGCAAGTCAGTGCAGGCCTGTGAGAGGGGAGGACTTCCCCCAAATCTTTATGAACTGTAGACTCAGGGCTTCCCCTAGTCCAGCCACAGGTGGAACAGAATTTGGACATACAGGAAATGTACTTGGGCCAGACTATGGTTTTGTGATGGTGCACAGGTGGCTCAGACTCTTTCCCAAATCCAGAGTTCTGAAAATGGGGCCTCTGGAAGGCA